AAACTAGTTCTTCAATACATATGTGGAAGCACAAAAGAACAGACACAATCATATTATAATAGATATTGTTTCTTACGTGAATAACTGGAAAACATAAAGCACTGTCAAATTACACTAAATTGGAATAATTAAATTATTGATTGTGAAATTGTGATTTATGATAGATTGACTTGTACTTAAATATGGAACAATGTTCGTCTTTCACACATCCTTAAAGGAGACTATTACGCGTTAATATATATACTCTAAACTAAAAATCAAGGAGCACTAGAGTAAAATTAGAATTTTAACTTTATAATTCTAAATTGTATAATGATGATTTTAAGTAATATAAACTGAATGATAAAATTAATATTTATACATATTTAATATATTTATTAATCCAAATATATTATTTGAATAAAATTTATTAAATTCGACTGAGCCTGCACAAAGTCTTTGGACGACGATTCATTTGGAACAAAGTATAAAGAAAAAGGTCCAACAAATATTGATGGTTATGTTAAAAAGTACCATTTCCAAGCTGGTCGTATTTGATGTCTAATCGCCGCCCATAGTGTATTAGTGGCTCTTAATTTCCCACTAGAAAGTCAATCTCGAGTTGTCTACATTTTATCGTAGAATCGAATGTTTGAGTGTTTGAATGAAATATGATAACATTATTTAAGATGTTGATTTTAAAATTTAAGAAATGAAAACTAGAACTTAATCTAAGTAAGTTTGAATTGTATTAAACCATTTTAAACTTGATTTCAGATTAATCAATTTGATTATTTTCAATTTTGATTATACTTTTTTCTTCTTATAAAAATGAATATACTAATATTGTGTTCATGTTAAGTTTCTTATTTTTCATTCTCATCGCAATTAGATATAAAATATTCATGCAAATAATGAAAACACTATTATCAGAAAATTTCTACTCTAAGCAAAATAAAATAATGTCTTGATTATTGAAAGTGTAAGCTCATAATTCCAAATAAAGATAGTGATAAGTTAAATGAAAAAATGTATATTAAAAACATAATATTGTTATATGAAAAGGATATTAAAAAGGTAGAGAGAAAAACCTTTCCATAAACGAAATTCTTAAACGATTACATTGTGGATGTATTTGTGTTATTGGTGTGAGAAGTTGTGTATTCAATTTATAAGATATATATATATATATATATATAACATATTCAACATAATTTCTCTAGAAAAGATGGTGCACGTACAATCTTAATTCTATCATGGGAAGATAGAGATGTGATATTGATAGAGATGCAATAAATATTAAGTATAAAATATCAAATTTTCATGATCCAAAAATTCAAAATCAAAACCTTATTCAAAATTCAATTTTTCAAAAGTTAAATGCAGAATCCAACCTATCAACCAAAGATCCAAAAAGAAAAAAAAATCAAATTTCTATGGGTGTCCTATACTTCAATGAAGCATATGCCAAGGTCTTAATAATTTTTTTCCATCGGGAATCCACATTAGAGCTCCGATTAAATTTGAATCACAATCTGTAGGACCCATTTGGGGTGGTGCTTCCAACATGATTTTCTTCATACCTAGGGCTCGAACTCGAGACCTATGGTTAAGGGTAAAGCACTCTCACCGTACACCACAACCCATGTTGATCCAAGGTCTTAATAGTTGCTTAAGGGAAACCTCAGATTATAAAAATGGGAAAGACGTGACTACATGAATCGACCAAAATTTAACATTATTTACCTAAATGGTACAATTTAAGAACGTGTGAGTAAATACGTGAAACAATCAAATACAATTTAACAACACGAATTTCACTAGTTTAGATTCCTCTCGCAATATTTCTGAAAATTACCTTCCGTATCACTTTTCCTCTCTCTGTGTGCGTGTGCATGTGTGTGTGCGTGTTCGTGTGCGTGTGCATGTGCGTGTGCGTGCGTGTGCGTGCGTGCGTGTGCGTGCGTGCGTGTGCGTGCGTGCGTGTGTGTGTATGTGTGTGTGTGTGTGTTTTATTATTTGTTTAAAAAAATTTATGTTTGCATTTTTAATTTTGTGAAGGTTAATTGTAGTTATATCCAATAATAATTTATACTAGAATTAACATAAATTTATTTTTTTGTAAAAGTCAGATTCAGGAGTCCCCTTGAGTACAAAAAGAGTGTCTATTGTCCAATGTAAACCCATAATAGATAAAACGTTGAATAGAGTCACTTGTTGGACAACTAAATTTCTCTCATATGCTAGCATAACTCAATTGGTGAAGAGTGTTTTGTTTTCTATACAAACCTTTTGGGTACAAATATGTGTACTTCTATAGAAGATCCTACATGGTATTGAGAGTATATGTAGAAAGTTTTTGTGGACAGGTAGTGTGGAGGCATCATAGAAAGCAGCATAGCTTGGGAGAATTTATGTTGGCCAAAGTAAGTGGAGGTTTGAATTTCCTGAATGTGTTTATCTGGAATAATACAACTATTGGAAAATTGCTATGAAATCTCTGTAAGAAAAAGGACAAATTATGGGTGAAATGGATACACAGTTTCTATGGGCAAAGAGGTATTTGGGGCATCCAAGCACATCAAGCTTCATGATTAGTACAAAGAATAGTTAAAGCTTATAAACGTCTTCAAGCTACTGGTTACAATGAACTTAGTTTGAAGAAAATGGATCAATATTATATTAAGAAGGTTTTATGAAAAGATGAGAGGTGACAGGGAAAAAGTGGAGTGAAAGAAGCTGATATGGTCCAACTAAGGTGCACCAAAGTGGTTGTTCATACTGTTTTTAGCGCTTAATAGGAGATTGTCAACGAAAGATAGAATGACAAAATGGGAAATAACATCTAATTTGACATGTCCCTTATGTCAAGTAGAGGATGAGGATATTGATGATCTTCTTTTGGATGCATGTTCACTGCTGGAATATGTAAGAAGTTGCTAGTCTGGCAAGGTATACCGTACATGAGGAAAGTGGCAGAACGAAATACAACGGGCAACAACTAATATGAATCGCAACTCCAGCAAAGCCAAGATGTATAAGATGGTTGTGGTAGGAACTATTTATCATGTGTGGTAGAATGCAACAACAAAATATTTCAGTCCAAACAGAGAAGTGAGGAGTTCTTGATTGGACATATCATTAGAGATATATATGGGAGAGAATCCCATTATAAGAAGATAGACAATAGACTATGTGAACTTAATATATACCCTTAGGAAGAAGTCGTGAGAGAAGGCTGATAGATAGAGTATGTTCTTTTAACAAGTCTTGGAGCTTGTATGTCCAAGTCTGTAGTTCTTTTTTCAGTTTTGTAAAGTTCACTTTGGTAAATCAAAATTTATTTATCAAAAAGATATTAAAAAAAGCTAAATTGTATATTTAAAATTAATATTATAAAAATATTAGATAAAAAATAATTCAATATACAACAAATTTGATTAAAACATGCAATTTATATAATGTTTAATTAAAACTTTGTATAATGAAATAATACTAAAATACTCAAAAAGTGAATTAGCATTATGAATAGTGTTACACCAACTTTTGTGTAGCACTATTCACACACCAAATTTGGTGTAAAAAGTGGTGTAAGTTTGAGCTCAAAAACACTACATTTTACACCAAATCTTTATGTGGTGTAAAATTTGGAGTTGATCTTAGTTTCCTTTATCTTAGCAAGTTTAAATGTTGTGGCAAATTTATATCTAATTAATAATTAGTGGGTTAGTGAACCGAAATTTTAGTATTTTAAATTTTTTAGTAAGCCTATTTATATGTAAGTCTTGTTGCTTTTATTAACTAATTATATTTTATTTATAAATGCAGTAATTTTCTATATATTTTGCCCTCTCTTTGTTCATTATTCATTCGATTATTTTCTTTCCAACAAATCTAGTATCAGAGCAAGGTTCCTTTCTAAAGTTGAGTGAGTTGTGAAAAAAAATGATAATAAATGGTATTTCATCATCTTCCCTGCAACTCATATCAATTTTTACTGGTGAAATATATGAGTTTTAGATATCAAAATGAAAAATCTTTTCAAATCACAAGAAATTTGGGAGTTGGTTGAAGCAAACTTCGTAGATCACTCAGACTCTTACGAAGAGAAAAGACAATTGAAAGAGATAAAAAAATAAGGATGTCAAGTGTGATTCATAATTCAACAAGCAATCCTTGACATAATTTTTTCAAGAATTGCACCGGTAACTACATTTTCACAAGCATGAAAGATTCAACTAAGGTGATTAAGGTAAACTTATTGACTTACAGTCGTGAAACTGAAACTCTTTCTATGAAAAGTAATAATTCAGTTCTAACTTATTTTTCAAAAGTTTTTTCTCTTATAAATAAGAGTCAGCAAAGGAATAGGATGTACCTGTACCGTTCCGGTTCACTACGGTTTGATTTCCTACAGGACGGAATGGGATATCCTGAACCGGTACAGGAACGATAGGATTCGGTCTAGGTGCGTTTCGATTTCGATTAATTAATATTTATTAATTAATTTATATTAAATATTTATAAATTATACTTTATATTTTATATTAAATAATAATACCCCCACCCCTACCCATGCAACCCCTCCACCTCCCTGCCTCTACAGCTTTAATTAAAAGTTGCTCCCCTGCCCCCTGCATGCAGATTTAATTAAAAGTTGATGTCGTCCCAATGTCTCATCCCATCCCCATAACTCCATTCCCCAATGGCCAATTTCCCATATTTACATCCCTACATTATTCAAATAAGGCAGAATATCGTGGTGACTCGAAAATGATCAATTGATTGATTTTTAAAAGAATTTAAAGAATAAATTTATTTTAAAGGAGTCGCCACCTAATTTTAGGAAAAAACTAGGAAATCATTAAATGATCTATAAAATCAATTTGATTATAGGTAAGGGGTCCAAATTATTCCAAAGAAAAGGGGTTAGGCACCCTTCGAAATTCGCAAATGTGGGTCCCGACTGAATTCATTTTTTTACAAATAAAGGAGGAGAGTAAAATAATGTACAAGTATAATAAACATTCAACATGTACAAATAATAAAATAAGAAAATATTAGAAACAATCCAAAGTTTGTCTAGCGTCAATATATACAAAATATTGACTAAAAAGTATGATTCAAACTACATTCGAATAATTTCAAGGATAAGCACATCTAGGTACCTGTAAAGACACCAAGTAAAAGTGTTAGTAATGTATAAATATGATTAAATCAAATAATAACTTAAAAATAAAAACTCATCTTATTAACATGGGAGGCCTAAGAAATCGACGATAATTTCTTCATAGACCAATTTAAATAAACAACATATATACACTTAATTTAAATATCTGCCTTTTAACATTCGGAAGGCCCCCAAAACTGACCGGAAGATTTTTTCATTGGCCATTTAACATGCAACCTAAACTCATATAAAATCAATATGTGATAATTTAAATAAAAATGCAACAACCAAAATGATAACATGAACAAAATGATACTAAATTTTTTTAATTAAATAATAACAAAAAAAACGCTGGACATTCTTAGAATAATATAAATTGAAGCAAAAACTATAAACAATAATTAAGTAAGAAAAATGCATTTAACATGAATGCATAACACAACCAACAATAGTAATGATAATAATTGATAACTATCAGCAGCATAAGGAGTCTTCAAAAACATATACAAACTTAACAATAATTTAAAATAATAATAAAAAGAAACAGTAGCAACCAAAATATATTACTCATTAATAAAATATTTGTAAACGCCATATATTCAACAAAACAATAAGATAAAATCGTCCAGTTAACTGTAGAAAGCTAAGAATTAAAAATAATGAAAACAAACACCAAACTATACTACACGCTACCTTATTTGATAGTGAAAAAGCTTAATAGCATAATAAATAAAATTAAGACTAAGACAAAAACAAATAAAACTCAAGTAAACGCAAAATAGCCAAATAAAACTAAAGATGCAGATCTGAAAAATTGAAAACTAACAAAACTCAACATAGACTTAACAAGCAAAGAGACCTAGCATCGAAAATAAAATATAAACGGTAACACACCACCCCAATTATATATGAAGGAAAAAAGCAGATCGGTAAACAAAAAATAGAATAAAAAATAAACAAAGAAAAAATAATTGCCTTACCATCAGGAGCTCACCGAATTTAATGTTGCGGCAGCAGGTCATTCACCGGAGTCGGAGTCTAGAGCTTTATATTTTTTTTTACCGTCGTTCCGGTGTGGTTGCGTGTAGCTGTAGCTCAGAGTTGACGCAGAAAAATGGCAGAGCTTCGAGGCCACCGTTAATGGCTGCTTCCTTGAAATTCGTAGCTTTCTATTGGGGTATGATTTTTGCTGGTCATAGTTTGGAATCACCATGATATGAATCTGATTGTAACTATGACTGGCGGCAATATCGAAATCATGTGAACCGGACTGGTAAGTTCCGAAATCGGGATGGAACTGGTACTATGAGAAACGGTATCGTTCTGGAATCGGGATCGGATTGAACAAGTAAATCGGTAAAGTATTTCGTGTTCGTCCCGGTCTGAAAGGGAACTGGTAGTATACGGACCTGACCGACTGGTAATCGGGACGGACCGCTATTTTTAAAAAAATTATTTAAAACTTAAAGATTTAATTTTTTAATTGAATATAATTTTTATTATAATAATAAAAAATTAAAAATTTAAATTTCAAACTTTAAAAGTTAAAAAAAATTATATTTTTAAACTTTAAAGTTATAAAATTTAAATTTCAAACTCTTAAAGTTTGAAATTTTTAAATTCAAATTTTAAACTTTAAATTTAAAATTTTCAAACTTTTAAAGTTTGAAATTTAAATGTTATAAACTTTAATGTTTGAAAATTTTAAATTCAAACTTTTAAAGATTTAAAAATTTAAATTCAAACTTTTAAAGTTATAAAATTTAAATTTCAAATTCTTAAAGTTTGAAATTTTTAAATTAAAACTTTAAAGTTATAAATTAAAAAATGACAATATTAAAAATTAAATTTAATAAAATAATATTAAAAAACAAATTAAGGCGAATGGCCTATATTTATATTAATATTTATTTGATATTACATTTACATTTACAAAAATATTAATAGAGTATTAAAAGGATTAATCTACATAGCCACCTTCTAGGAAGGGTTTATTTGAATTAAATCTCGAATTATCATACTTTTACTAATAGTTTTTGCCACCATATAAACCCTTCATAAATCATTCAACATTCTTTAGTAAAATGTTCGGGAATTGGTTGAATAGAAAGATCTTTATTGCTTTAATTCCGTCGTCACTATAATCCTGCATTACTTCATCAACGTCATCTTGAAATTCGGTCGGTAGTGGTTCACGACCCAAATTTCTTCTCTCGACATTAATCCAATCTCGAAATAATACCGATATCTCCAAGTTGTCGGCTGCTAGCGAATGCCTATGTTCTCCAAGTTGAAACCTTGACACACAAAAAACATCTTCCGAAGCTACTGATAATGCTTGCATTGCTAATATATCTCGAGTCATTGGTTGTAGTGTTGGAAATTCTTTGCCGCAATTTCTCCACCATGCTAGAATATCTTCAGTAGGTTCTGTATTTGATTGACATAGACATCAAAATCATTTCTATTATCGTGAGAAAGTTCAAGATAATCCTGTAAATAAGCATCAAAATAAATCATATTAGCATTATATAAATCATACAATTTTCTAGAGCTTTGAGGTTTATTTTCACTTGATAAATTTATATTAGCATTATATAAATCATACAATTTTTTAGTTTTAATTTTTTTGTTATCTTTTTGTTGACAACTAGGAATTTCTTCTAATACATCATTAATATCTAAGTTAAAATACATTTTTCAACTATTTTTTATGCACCTACATCTTTATACTTAGGGTTTAACAAACATTCAATTAAATAAATTTGAGGGATAAGAATATAATATTTTTTTTAAATTTTAGAATCATTTTTTCAATGGTTTATTGAAATTTTGATTTATTTTTAAATTTATATAATTTAGAAGAAATTATACAAATATCAGGCAAAAAAGTACAAATTGATGGACTATAAAGTACAGATATTCTTTTTGTATTTTGATATTTTTCATATGAATAGTAATAGTAAAATTTAATCAATTTAAAGATCTTTGTAATGTATTTAACTTTCGTTAAGAAAAGTTTCAAAGCATGTAAAAACTAGATGAAATTTCTTTTATGATATGCTTGACGTTGCTTATGCATATAGACAACCTATTGCTACACTATTTAATAATCATAATGCTTATCTTGAATTTAAACTTAATGATAGTGATTGGAATGAAGTAAGTGAACTTAGAATAATTTTGAAATCATTTTATGATGCTACTAAAAAAAAATTCTCAAATATATTATCCTACTATTTTTGAAATTTTAATACACATATGTGAGATTTCATCTATCTTTTATGATTATAAAATAAATAATTCATTTACCACTGCATTGAAGTTATGATTACAAATATTAAGAAATATCTTTTTCCTATCTCTCAAATTTATTTTAGTGCAACTCTTTTCAACCTCGAAATAAAGAATATGGTGCAAAAGTTTTAGTTAAATGCATTTATCAAAATTAGATATTAAACCAGAAAAAGAACCTGATTTGATAACATGTCAAAATAGTATAAAATTACCTGCTAAAGATATGTATGATAAATATTCTTCCTTAGATAATGTTGAAAATCCTCAAACGTCTATGCCTCAAGTAGGTGTTCATGGACGAATGAAACATAAACTTTGTCTTGACTCTTCTAATAAATGTGAATTTATTAAATATATTGAATAGGGTTTCAATGATATTACGAATTATGAAAGTATGCCACAATATTGAACCGGTGGAGGGCTCGTGGAACTCAATTTCCAAAACATAGTAGAATGGAGAAGGATGTGCTTGCAATCCAAGGATCATAAGTAGCTTCGGAGACAACTTTCAACGTGGCCAGATTTCAAATTGGAGACCACAAATATTTGTTAGCAGAAGACAGCTTGGAGATATCAGTGTTGTTTAGAGATTGGATAAATGTCGAGCGGAGAAATCAAGGACTTCCAAAGTTAGGTAGTCAATTTGAACTTTTCATAGATTCAACTATTGGATGTGGTAGTGATGATAGCTCAAACTTCAAGATTCTCAACGAGCTTTACCAAGACCATCTATAGCTGAGTTAGTATACAACTATAGTATTACATTTGAGACTTAGTTGAAACAGAATCCTTCCTCGAAGCTGGTTGCCTAAACTATGCACTCTACTAATAGTTGTAAATTGAAATTGTAATTTGTAATACAAATTTAAACAAAATTAAATTGATATTTTTTAATTTGTGTAATTGTTTTATCCTTATTTTTATTTAACTTTTTTAAAATTACAAATTTAATTTATTTATATTACAAGACACAAGTTATAAATATAGCTTATAAATTATAAATATTAATAAATAATAAGTAATAACTTATAAACTTCAAAAGATTTAAATTTTGAAAACTTAATTAAACTCAACTTGCAAACTTAATAGGTAATTTTTTATGACAAAATATCTTTAAAATAAACTTAAGTAAAAAATTACATTATAAATTTAAAAAATAATTAATTTAAACTTAGGAAAATAAAAAAAATCATATTTTTGTAATTCCAGAAAATTATTTTTTGAAATCACTAGACGTGTCATGCCATTTATCTCATCCCGTTCCATTTCGGTTCGTTCCGCTTCCATTCTGGTATATAGTGGGACGGAACGAAACCGGCTATCCATCCCGATAATTTCAGTCCAATTCATCTTGGTACCGGTCAATGCGTTCCGTTTCGATCCGATACGGGTTCATTCCGATCAGGTGATCCCGTTCCGGTCCGTTGTCCAATCTTATTTGTAAATCAAATAAAGTATTATAGTGAAAATATATTTGAAGAAACTCTTGTAGAAATTATTTTAAGGAGTCTTACTTCAAAATTTGAACATATTTTTAATGTGATTGAGGAATCTCATGTCTTATTTGATTATACTTTTGGTGAACTAATGAGTTCTTTGCAAACTCATGAAAAGACACTACTGAAATACTGTCAAAAAGAGACGGAAAAAAATGAAGTAGTTGGCTAAAAGCGACGCGATTTTGTGCATCGCATTTTAGCTCAACTCTTTTCCAAAAGCAATGGATGGCGCCGCAAATTGAATAATTTTTTTGAATTTTTTTAACAAAAGCGACAGACTTCGTCGATATGCTTTAATTTTCGTTTTTTAAATTTTCACAATGCGACACAATTCGTCGCTTTTGTGAAAATATGTTTTTTTGCAAATCCCAGAAAAGCGACTGACAAAAGAACACTATCCATCGCTTTTCTGGAAATTATTTTTTCAAAAAGTCAAAAAAAAAAGTGAAGGACTAAAACACACTAACTGTCACTTTTCTTGGTTTTAAAAAATAAAAACCCAGAAAAGCGACGGACAAAACCATGTTGTCTGTCGCTTTGTCTGCAATTTTTTTGGCAGCAGAAACTGTCAACCACCTGCAATACAAATACTATTCAATCCAATAAACACGCAATTATATATACGCAACAAACACATTTATCTAAACAACATAAAACAAGAAACTTAAAATAACATTTGAAAGATAAATAAAAATTTAAAGACTTATATATTCTTTCAATATTAACTTTAAAATTTGTTTCAAATTTACCAAAAAATTCATAAATGTCTAGAGATGTAAACTAGCTAGCGAGTAGCTCCTACACAATCATCCTCATCATCAGAACTGTTGTTGTAGGTGTCATCAGGGGCCGAATTAATGGATCCACGAGTAAGGCTGGCGACGGTACCGAAACCGAGACTAACAACCGGCACAATACTAGGAACCAAAAGCCAAAATTGGGACGGACTGATACTGATAATACCGAATACTTGAAGAAGTACCTACCCGTCCCGGTCCGCTAGTGAATTAGTAGCGGACCGAACCAGATTGGTTTAGCGGGATGCACAACTAGTTTTTTTCAAAAAAATTATTTTAAAAAAATAATTATTAAAACTTTTATTATTTTAAAGTTAAAAATTTATACTTTTCAAACTTTTAAAGTTAAAAACTTATACTTTTCAAACTTTCAAAGTGTGAAATATAAAATTTTATAGTTAGTTTGAAAGATTAAAATTAAATTTAAAATTTTATATTCATAGTTTGAGATTTTGAATTTAAATTTAAAATTATATATTTATTGTTTGAAAGTTTGAATTTTACAAACTTTAAAGTTTAAAAATATAAAAGTTTAAATTTTTATTAAAGTTTGAAAATTTAAAATTCAAACTTTCAGTTTATAAAAGTTTAAATTTCAAACTTTAAAAACTATAAAAGTTTAAATTTCACAATAATCTATACTTTTATTTTAATATTAATTGAATAGTACGACTTGATCTACAAAAATATTAATAGAGTATTAAAACATCTAATCTACATAGTCACCTTCTAGGAAGAATTCTGTTTTAATTAAATCTCGAATTATCATACTCATACTAATAGACAATTACACATTTAAATTTAATAGTTCATATTACCATAGAGTTC